TCCTAATAAGAGTATCAAGATAATGCCACAAATGTTCAATCGGACTAAGATCCGGACTGTTTGCAGGCCATGAGTCAAGCAACTTGACTCTCAATGATGAGTCAATACCCTGAAACCATTTTATTGTTGAACAAACTGTATGTGGATGTGCACCGTCTTGCTGAAAGGTCATTCCATGTTTATAAACTTCTTTCGCGTTCTTAAACGTTTTAGAAGTTTTCAACGTAAGATTCTGAGTCGACTTTTTTAGTTAAAAACATTAAGTTTGATTTAAAATTGTGGTCAATTGCACCCCAGGCCATAACACCCGCGTTGTATTTCGGAGTTACTACAAAATTACTTTCATTAAACTCACCTTTTCTTCTCCAAACATAATTACCATCTGAATAAAGGCAAAAACTGCTTTCATCTGATATTATAGTGTTTTTAATCCAGCGAGCTAAAATTCTTTTATTAAACAATTGTTTCTTGCAAAAATTGAGTCGATCTAAAATGTGTTTATCTGTCATGTTTGGTCGTTTTATTTGATTTGCATAAAAAGGGGAAAGTGTAACATCATGTGAAACCAAAAATGAAGAAGACAATGGATTATCAATTGTTTGTTTTACTACAATTTGAATATGTTCTCTGGACACTTTTACTGGTCAACCAATTTTTTGGTTTTGCCTCTCCCCCTCTTTTCAATTCAGATACTGTGGTTTTTGAAATACCAACTATTTTTGCGACGGCACTGTAAGAATAGTTTTCTTCGAGCAACTCTTTTGTTCTTGCCATTTTTTTCTTTTTCCGATAAATAAAGGTTTGACTCTGAAGGTTTTGACATATAATAATTATCAGTTTTTTTTAAATGCACTTTTGGGATCATTTGCGTGTTTTTATAAAACAAAAATACCATTATTTCATATTTTATATGGAAGTTTTTTATGCTTAAAAATTTTTCAAGTAAAAAAATATTTTAAAACACGTTTTTTTCTATTTTACTCAGAAAAATAATCAAATTTTATAACAAAAAATTCGTTTCTTAAAAATAATACTCAAAATAAAAGCAAATTTTGGGGTCTCTTCGGTACAGACTTTTGAAAAACAGTTTATATATCATAAATAATACTGTCTTTTTAAAATTATTGGAAAAAAAATCAATACATTTGAATATGTATATGTGCTCTAATTCCGATAAAATTTTATACTTATTCTTGTGTAAATTTTTGTTTTTAAAAACAAAAAAATTTTTAATGATATTTTGGCACATAAAAACAAAATAAACACATTAAAGTTTGCAAAAAAAAACATAAAGTAAGGCGAAAAAGTCGCACCACTAATCTAAAGACTTCTCTTTTTTCTATTTTATACTTTTTTATCATTTTTATTTGATTATTTTTTTTTATTTTTTGTTATAATTGATTTATTTACCTTCTTTTTATTTCTTTTTTCTAAAATTGCTAATTTTTGTTCGGCATTTTAAGCCTTTAATCATTTTATCTAAACCCGAATTATTAAACCGAGAACATGTATATTTTACTTTGCCATTTTTTTGTTTATATTTTTAAAACCATTAACAATAATTTATCATATTATGTTTAAACTATATTTTTAATAGAAACTATATATTATATTAATAGCCTTTGTCATGTCTATAAATAAAAAAGACAAATTCTAAAGGTTTAGTTTCATCCTCAGAAAAAAGAGAAACATATCTAAATTTTTATTAAAATGTTTATGTTTGAATTAAAAAATTACAATCGTAACTCCAATGCACCACAATGGACAATGATAAAACTTAAGTGCACGACATTACCTTTATAAGTTGCGATTTTTGAATCTTAAATTTTGCGACCATATTACTAATTTATAGTTTTCAATCAAAACATATCTATGTTTTTGTTGAAATGTTTAAAAAGCAACTTCACGTTTTATACAAAATATACAATATTATTCTGATAGTATTAGCACACATGAACAAATTGGCGATTTGTTTTTCTATTCTAAAA